CTGCTGAGGGACGCACAAAAGCTAGGGACAGCCGCTACCAAGGTGGTGGGGAAAGGCCACCATCTAAGATGTTACTGCCAAAGTACAATAATGCCTGTTCAATTATTGGACCTTCCCAGTGCCTCAAATATAAATAGTATCTAGCATTAGAAAGAAATGCCTTCGGGTTTGTTGCAACTGCAGAAAAAAAATCAAACTCCACTGTTTGTTCTCCATTGCAAAGACAATACAGAACCGGACTTCTTTAGTAACTACGTTTACGTACATAAAGACTTTATGAATAAAAATATGCAATTTTTTTGGAAGTTAAGAATATTTACCATAATGTTTACCAGGAACTAAGTAAAGTACATCTCACTTCCAACACTACTGCTGCCAAATGGCCAATAAGTTATGGAACTAATACAACATGTCCTATTGAGGTAGATAGTGATGATTTACAGGAGTTGAAGATAATTCCAGTTAAAGGTTACTGCAGGTCGCATCATATGAATGACAAATAAAAATGGCAAATACTTGAAACACCACCCTAAGGTAAAAAAGCCAAATTAACAAATGTCACACAATTACCAAAATGATAGCAGGTAATCCTCAGTGTCATCTACAATGAACCTATGGCAGTGAGGGCAGGGCAAAAACCAGCAGTTCTTCATCCAAGGATGATACAATAGGATTTAGAATACAGACCACGAGAATTAGCAAGTGGGACCAATGATGCTGGCTATAGTCTTCCCAATGTTTCCTCGATGGTGCTAGATGACAGCGAGAAGCCTGACAGTACAGACAAGTGGGGGAGTTAAGAGACTGTTGAACAGGCTGAGATGCAGAAAGGTGTTTTGATTATAAAGGTGGAAGCTGATCTGACAACTGCAGATGACGAAACGAATGAGTGGTGCATTGATTGGGAAGAAAAAACTTGGAGACAAATGATCTCTGTTCTATAATATTTACATTCCGTGTAAAGATCAACGTATTCCACACTAAAGAGAAATGCGAGCTAATGCAACAGATAACAATTTCAATTTGATGATGCTGTTGTATCAATATACAAGTGTTTCAAACAGGATCCATCTAAATAGCAACAAATAGTATCTAAATGTTTCTGTTTTCTGGCCAGCAATTTCAAGAAGAACCAAGTCACTGTGCCTTAAAGACGGAACATTAAAAGTTGACGACTGTAATAGAGATCACCTCTGTAGGGAGCAATTAGTAGTGATATGCCAAGTTACACAAAGGTCAAGTAAAGAATGCTTTACAGACATACAGATCACGGTGCTGAGGGTACCTCTGGCTCTCCACAATATGCATTTTTAGTGCAGAAATTCAATTGCATTTCTACATGCAAGAAAATGGGCCATTTAATTTTAATATGTACAATATAAATTCAAAATCTTCCCTCTATCACCATACAAAGTTCAAAACTTTAACAGATAAACTGATTAAACAACAACTGGAATAGCTCTAAGTAAGTATAATACTTTGGGATACAAAGGGAAGCCATTGTCCATTAAGTTCACTCAAATTAAAGAGGACTCATTTTCAAGAGTCAGTGCAACAGTAAATAATTTGTGCCTAAAACAAAAATCAATTATCTTGTATAAGGATGAGGAATTTGTACATCATTAGGAAATATCATTGAAGGGAAAGGGGCATCTAAGATTGAGTTTTGTCAATAAGCAAATAATTCTGCCTTGTTTAAGCAAGTGAAGAATTATAGCCTGTTTAATTGGGGTTAGTTGCAAGGGAGAAGGCTATATGGCAAAAGCAAGGTTTAATTGCAGCTTTGTGGCTCAAGCCAACATAAATTTAAGCTAACATATTTCAGAATGCTTTGAGCCAAAAAGGCTTTAATTCAAGAACATAGCAATGTTTTGGAACACATTTTCTGGAGCATTTTTTGGAACACATATTTTCTGAAGAAGGGTCCTGACCCGAAACGTCAGCTTTCCTGCTCCTCTGATGCTGCCTGGCCTGCTGTGTTCCTCCAGCTCCACACTGTGTTATCTCTGAATTGGTTTGGGTTTTTTTTTGACAAATGATCAGATTTTATTTTATGTGAGTAGCACTATTAATTGAAAGTGTGACAAAAAATTTTAAAATGTTGTTCAACTATTAAATGATATCTTGTCTCCAATGTATCTTGACTGCATAAATCTCAATGACTTTCTTTACAAAAGTATGCTTATCTCTGATTTAATAATATTAATTGAAGAATCTATCTATCTATGTTCTTAGTGGGAGAAGCTCCTTGCTTGTAATTTCTATCCAAACTAGAAATGACTCTAAGCTATATCAAAATGTTCAATACTCATGCAGCAGCGGAAAAATGTTTTTCTTGACTAAACCCAATGAAAGTCAAAATGCAATGCATCAGCATGGTTTTATGAAGGGTAAATCACATTTGATTAATTTGCTGGAGTTCTTTGAAGAAGTAACTGGCAAGGTAGATAATTGGGATCCTATAGATATGGTATATTTGGTCATCCAGAAACATTTTTTTTTCTATTCGTTTTTGTGGGATGTGGGCATCGCTGGCTGGCCAGCATTTCTTGCCCATCCCTAGTTGCCCTTGAGAAGGTGGTGGTGAGCTGCCTTCTTGAACCACTGCATTCCTCCTGCTGTGGGTTAACCCACAATGCTATTAACGAGGGAATTCCAGGATTTTGACCCAGCAACAGTGAACGAATGGCGATATATTTCCAGGTCAGGATGGTGAATGACTTGGAGGGGAACTTGGAGGTGGTGGTGTTCCCATATATCTGCTGCCCTTGTCCTTCTAGATGGCAGTGGTTGTGGGTTTGGAAGGTGCTGTCTGAGGATCTTTGGTGAATTTCTGCAGTGTATCTTGTAGATAGTACACACTGCTGCTACTGAGTGTCGGTGATGGAGGGAGTGAATGCTTGTGGAAGAAGTGCCAATCAAGCGGGCTGCTTTGTCCTGAATGGTGTCAAGCTTCTTGAGTGTTGTTGGGGCTTCACGCATCCAGGCAAGTGGGGGGTATTCCATCTCACTCCTGACTTGTGCCTTGTAGATGGTGGACAGGCTTTGAGGAGTCAGGAGATGAGTTACTCGCTGCAGTATTCCCAGCTTCTGGTAAGGTACTCCACGTATGGGCAATGCACAAAATAAGTTCACATGGGGTTAGGTGTAATGTATTAGTTTGCATTGGCTAACCAACAGAAAGCAAAGAATTGGGATAAATGGGTCTTTTTCTGGTTGACAACATGTAACTAGTTGGCTGCCACAGGTATTGTTCTCGGGCCCCAACTATTTACAGTCTGTATTAATAATTTGGATGCAGAGATAGAAGATACTACAGGTGTATTTTCAGATGACACTAAAATAGGTGGGGAAATATGTTGCAATGTAGGATTCAAAAAATTACAAGTAGATATGGAAAGATTAGGTGAATCGGGCAAAATTTGGACAGTGGACTTTAACGTGTACTAGGTATTATGTACAATTTTGGTCTCTTTACTTGAGGAAGGATGGAATTGCACTGGAGGCTGTTCAGAGAAGGTACAGTATATTCTTTCCAGAGACGATGGATTTGTCTTATGAAGGGAGCTTGAACAGTTCCTAGAGTTTAGAAGAAAGGGATCTAATTGAGGTATATAAGATGTTAAAGGGAATTGACAAAGTAGACATGGACGGAACATTTCTTGCGGTGCAATCTAGAATGCGAGGTCATAGTTTTAGGATAAGGGGTAGCAGATTTAATACAGAGATGAGGAGGAATTATCTCTCTC